CTTGGCATTTATATTACACTATCTGTGGAACAGCAGAGTATAGTTAAACACTTGCTATGGTCTGAATGTATGTGTCCCCCATTACCCACTCCTGATTTGTGTGTTGAAACCTGACTGCTCAAGGGAATGGTATTAAGAGGTGGGGCTTGGGGGAGGTTATTAGGTCATGAGGCCAGAGCTGTCCTGAATGGAATTAGTCTTCTCAGAAGAGAGGCCTGAGGGAGGTGTTTGTTTGCCCCTTGCCCTTCTGCCACGTGAGGACATATAGAAGGCATTATCTGTGATGTCTGCAGGCGCCTTGACCTTGGACTTCCCATCCTCCAGAACTCTAAGTAATGCATTTTTGTTGTTTATTAATTATCCAGTCTAAGGTACAGATGTTCCCCAACTTATTATGGTTTGACTTGGGATTTTCCGACTTTGTGATGGAGTGAATGTGATATGCATTTGGGAGAAACCACACTTCTCTAGTGATGCTGGGCAGTGGCAGCAAGCCCTGGCTCCCTCTCAGCCACACGTTTTCAGCTTATAACATTTGCAGTTTACAGTGGGTTTATTGGGATGTAACTTCATTGTAAGTCCAAGAACATTCGTATTTTGTTAAATCAGTCTGAACGAACTGGGACAACACTCTAAGAAGTAAATAGTGTAGGAATACGGAGAAGAGAATGCATTTCTTGTTCACTAGAACTCTTGTGAAGGAAAGTGTTTTAGACCTCAGAGAACAGAAAATTTAACTGTGGGGACACAATGACTATAGTGGTGAAAATAATTACAGTGACAAAGTGAATGTTTACTAAGCATCAGTACATGCTAGGCACTATGCGCGAGTCACTTATGATGGATTATCTCATTTAATCTTCACCAATGCTTGATACTCTGGAGTATTTCTATTTTATGGGAAAGGAAATGGAGACATTGACATAGGCACGGGCCTATATTTACACTGCTAGAAAGTGGAGGAGGTGGAATTTTAATTTAGTCTTCCTGCAAACTTGTGTGCAGGATGTTAGGTGGGGGATTTTATCCAAGAGGAGGATAGTGATGAGCTTAGACTCAGGTGGGCTGGTATAAAGCATGTCTGGGAAGCCTCAAGAACTTAGAACTGTAATTTACCACATTTTTTTTCGCACATCCCAGTTATAATTGGAGGATATAACAAATGTAGACTCCTAGGACCCACAGCAGTTGTTGATGTACAGAAGATCCACAGATCAGTACCTGGAGGGTCACTGATCTAGAGTGTGGCATACATGCCATAGACTGCAATTGGAGGTCAAAACATGGAGAGCCTCAATTTCGTATTAAGGAGCTTTCACATACTGAAATTTTATAGTTAGGCATGATTATCTCTGTGTATCTAATGATGTGCTTGGGGCTAGAGCATCTAAGGAAAGAACTGGATCTGTGAACACTCTTGGGTGTTCACACAGTTAAAATGTCAGGCAATTTGGAGGACGGAGTTGACATTAACGTGCAGAGAGGGTTTTAGGGCTGTGGGAGGGAGCCTTTTTCATAGCATGGAAAGGAAACAGATTCATTTACCATATTCAGCATGTTGAGTGATAGAGAGAGATGGTTTTGGGTAGAGCTTTTGGTATATCTTTATTTGATTTGACCACCTAGGAAGTATATATGTATCTGCCAAAAAAAGGAAAGGGCTGTGTATTAAAACGAAAGTACAACACATATATACCAAAAAACGAATACAGTGGGCTTGTCAATCTCTTCTGCCATTTTTATCAGCCTCTCTCACATCTCTTAAACATGTTCCAAGTGCTTTGCAAAGCTCTAGTATAGAAATTATAAATGTATGTTAAGGAAGGAATGATTCATTCTTTTTTGAGGGGTTGATAAGAAGCCTTCACAGAGTAGGTAATACCTGCCTATTTATAATTTTAAATGGTGCTTAAGAAAGCAGATAGAGTGTATGCAAAAAGGCATGGAGCTGCTAAACAGCTTGTTGCCTCAGGGAAATAATTGACAAGAATGGACTAAAGTGAATGAAGGATGTTGGTAGAATGTTTAAAAGCATTGAATATGAGCTTGTTGTTGATACAGAGGAATTCCTCTCTCATAGGAAATATGAGCATGGTGTCTGACACATAATTGCTGTTTATATCAATAGCACCTGCTATTATTATTGCTAGAGACAAAAATGTGATTTGGCACTATAAGCAATATCAGCATAGACTTTATGTGGTTGAGCATGTGGAGTTACATACCGAATTATGTATTTGATAGTTCATTGACTGATGCATGGAGACTGGGCTGAGAGATTTGTTCAGGGACCGTTGCAATAATCCAGGCAAAAGATGTCATGAGGTTTGGAACCATGACAAAAGCAGTGAGGATGGAGTAAGTGTATTAGTCAGCTTAGCTGCTATGACAAAATACCACAGGCCATGTAGCTTAAACCACATACATTTATTTTCTCACAGCTCTAGAGGTTGAGAAGTCCAAGATCCATTTGCCAGCTGATAAGTTTCCTAGAGTTACTCTTCCTGGCTTACAGATAGCCGCCTTTTCCCTATGTCCTTACATAGAGGGCTGTGGGACCTGAGGGAAAGAAAACTCTCTGGTGTCTCTTATAAGAAACTAATGCTATCTTATCAAGGTCCCATCCTGATGACCTCATTTAACCTTAATTACCTGCTTGGAGGCCCTGTCTCCAAATACAGTCACAGTAAAGGTTAGGGCTTCAGATACGAATTTTGGGAGGACATAATTCTGTCAGTAGCAAGGAGTAAAATCAGGAGCTCACCTGCTTCCTTGAATGTGGTGGATAATACAAAGGTGGACTTGGGAATGCAGTCTAGGTTTTAGATTTGGGGTAGGGATGCATCAGGAGGTTTCTTGATGTGCATGTGTATATGTATTTTATTGAAATTGTTTTTCTCCTATTAACGTTTTTGTGGACACTGGTAAGCAAAACTGTCACTTTTTATAATTTATTCTACTTCAGAAGGAAAATGCTTCTAATCTTCTCAAGTTATTGGCCAATTTATCATGTTTATAAATTCTAAAGTGGGTGAATACATTATGTCCACTTATTGTTCCATTGGTAGTAATTATTTCCATCCTGTGATAAGGCTAGTAAAAATAGACGATACATTTGTTGCAAAATAATTGTGTAGAATGAAAGTGGCTTATCTGAGAATTGAGTTTGTATGTAGTGTTGAGGTGTAACTTTTCTTTTTTCATTATCTATCTATCTATCTATCTATCTATCTATCTATCTATCTATCTATCTATCTATCTATCTATCTTTGAGATGGAGTCTCGCTCTGTTGCCAGGCTGGAGTGCAGTGGCGCCATCTCAGCTTACTGCAGTCTCTGCCTCCCAAGTTTGAGCGATTCTCCTGCCTCAGCCTCCCGAGTAGCTGGGATTACAGGCGTGCACCCCCACACCCAGCTAATTTTTGTATTTTTAGTAGAGACAAGGTTTCACCATGTTGGTCAGGATGGTCTTGATCTCCTGACCTCAATTGATCTGCCCACCTTGGCCTCCCAAAGTGCTGGGATTACAGGTGTGAGCCACCGCACCTGGCCGAGGTGTAACTTCTTTGTGTTTGACATTTAAGCATTTTAGGTGTTACTCTGGGATGCCTTATTGACAACGGGATTTCCTGCCTTTCATCATTTATTTTGTATTTTTATTTCTCTGCTCCTGCAGTGTGTCCTGAAGAAGATATATGCTTTCCCTTTTATCCTATACCTGTTTGTTACTGCTTGCTGATATTTTAAAATAGTTGAAGCAGTAGCTTGTGGGCAGTTGGCATGTAGCATATGCAGAGTCCAAGTAGTGCCTTTTGCAGAACTATTTGAAGGGGTTTTTCAGTCCTGCATCAAAACTTGCTCAGGGAAATTTTCCTTGTGTGGGTGTGTCTCATTTTATTACTTCAGTATATATGTGTCATACCTGCTACCTGCTCTGTACTTTTTTATTGACGCACAGTGTACAGAAACTTGCACATATGCATTTTCATAAAGTGAACACACCTGTATAATTAGCATCTGGAAAAATGGACTTTTAAAAAAAGTTTAATTATGTTGTTTGGGAGAAAAATAAGCTTATGAATTTCCTGTGTACATTGGAGGACACATGACCTTTAAACCTTTACCTTGTCCTTTTATATTAGCATATTTTCTGTTATCTAATGTATTTAAGAATTAGCTGATTATTCAGTGTCATATCTTGTATATCACTATTGTTTACATATAATGCTGCCAGCTTTTATGAAATGAAAATTATTGAACTGAGAAATATGTTCTGACTGCTTTTTAAGTATTTGAAAGAAAGTGCAGTGAAAGGGAAAGTTGTTTATGTTCAGTTACTGTTAAGAAAATTGCATAAAACTTGAAAGTCAAAAGAACATTCTTTCAGTGCCTTTGTGGGAATGTTGTTTAACAAGACCACCTTAGAGATATTTTAATCCCAATTTTAATTCCTGTGCTTGACTTGGCTATTTATTATTTGAGTAGCACATAGACACTGAGAAGTTACCTGTATGCTTATAGATTTTTGTCCAGTAGAAAAGATAACCCCAAATGTTGTGGCTTATTATCCTGTAGGACATTAAACAGTTTTTTTTATCTAACCTAGCTATCCTAATACTTAAAAAAAAAACTTTTCTGATGCACTATGTAAATCTTTTCCACAAATGCTCTTGGATCCAATCTTACTAACTTACTGGTTCCCTCATTTTAAATTAAGAAGTTGAATAAAGCTTTTGATATATGTTTATTCGGTACGTGTGTCAGTGTCATTTTTTTTCACCTTTTTGAAAGTCATAGTTTGATGCTGTCATAGCATTTCTGTCCTGTACCCTCACATACGGAGAAACTGGTTTTCTAGGGCGTGCAAAGCAATGCACAAAGATTCCAAATGCAGAGTGAAAGTTAGTGTCCTAATTTCTGTTGTTTCTTCAGAGAAAGTATATAAAAGTAGATTTTAATAATTAAAATAGCCTAATAAATCATTTTTATTTTTCTTCTAGGCTTAAGCACATAAAGCAGTCACTGTGAAGAAAATAACATTTTAAGAAACTTTTCTGTCACAATTGATAGAGGAAAAGCCAGCAGAGAAGTGCATCTTCTTGTGTGTGTATCTCATCGTGCCACTTTTTGTAACTCAACTTAGTAATGAAGCCACCATTATGTCCTCAGTCAGTGAAGTAAATGTGGATATAAAAGATTTCCTAATGAGCATTAATTTGGAGCAGTATCTCTTACATTTCCATGAGTCTGGTTTTACTACTGTGAAGGACTGTGCAGCAATAAATGACAGCCTGCTACAGAAAATTGGAATATCACCTACAGGTCACCGTAGGAGGATACTTAAACAGTTGCAGATAATCTTGTCAAAAATGCAAGATTTTCCAATATATGCAAATGTTCATAAAACAAAGAAGAATGATGACCCTTCAAAGGATCACAATGTTCCATCTTCTGATCAGAATATCTGCATAGAACTTTCCAGTTCTAGCAGTGTTCAGATGCCTAGCCCACCGCAGTTGGAGACTGTTACAAAAAAACTTGAAGACGATGCAAGTGTGGAAAGAAGCCAGTATCCTCAATCAGATAATAAGCTGTCTCCTCCTAAACGCGACTTTCCCACTGCAGAAGAACCACACCTGAATTTGGGTTCTTTGAATAATTCTTTATTTGGTAGTGAAAATATTAAAATAGAATCTTTGATTACAAAGAAGACTATGGATCACACAATTGAAGAACAACAAACAGAAAAAGTTAAATTGATCTCAGAAAATCTCAATAAGCTCCCTAACGCAGACTCTGAATGCCTTTCTTCTGTTGGCTGTTCAACATCAGAAACGAATTCTAGAAATGGAACAAATGGTTTATTAGACGGATCACCACCATCCCCATTCTTTAAGTTTCAAGGAGAAATGATTGTAAATGACTTGTATGTTCCATCATCACCAATCCTAGCACCTATGAGAAGTCGTAGCAAGTTGGTTTCAAGACCATCTCGATCTTTTCTGCTAAGACATCGGCCTGTACCAGAGATTCCAGGGTCAACAAAAGGAATTTCTGGGAGGTAAGAATCTTTACAATAAGGTCTAAGTATTAAATTTGAGGGAATTTAGTGATTTTTAACAATTATATTTTCAGTGTTCCTTTCTAAATTTGACTATATTCATTTACCTATTCAACCAACATTTTCTTTTAAAAATTTTCCTCCTCCCATTGTACATTATTTCCCAGAGTCTGTTTCCAGTTTATAATGCCTGGGACTCTTTAGCTTTTCCCTATTTAATTGGGGGAACATCCCTTCTCTTAATTCTATCTGGATATTCCTTTCCATACCAATTCCCCACACCTAGTATTGTAGTCTTTCCATTAGTGCAGTTCTCATATTTGAAATGTTGACTCTGTCTCCCCATTAGATAATTTGTTCTTTGACAAAAAACATGTTTTTAATGTTTATATCTCTGCTGCCTGGCACAATGCTTGGCACCAAGTAATAATTCAACACACATCTATTGAACTTGGTATTTAGTCACTGTGCTCGGTAGGAAGGATGCAAAGAGGAATACGGTGACTTGCAGTCTCGTGTAGAAGTCACATGTAAAAAGATGGTGACAGACAGCTCAGTATGAAGCTAGGCTCACTAGAGACGAGACCTCTGGGACCCAAAAGAGGGGCTCTACCAGTATGGTTCTTCTACCCAGGAGGTAAGTCATTGGTATCCCGAAGTAACAGGAGGATTACCTAAACAGTTTGGGAGGAGGTAATTTGTAGCAAAAGAGGTCATCAGCTTTAGCTTTCAGAATTCATGAATCTCAAAGTTATACCTAAAATAGTTGTGGTTTTCTCTAGGGTTGGGGTAGGATATTGCTTTTCCGATTAAAAGTTAACACTTGTCTCTCTGCTGAGACACGAGGCTGTTCAAGTTTGACTGTTACTGTAGTGGCACTAAATGTTTTACACACATCCTGCACAGGCTCCAGGCTGGAGTTTCAGCAGGATTCCTCTTTTCCCCCCATGTCTGCTGTCCCCCCTGCTCCCTTTGAATCTGTGGCTGCCTCTGATTCTGTTGGCCTTAGGTACCTTTGGTAATTGCAGTGCAAATAGTATTTGCAAGAGAAAAGGTGGCAATTTAGTGTTTGTGAGAGAAAACATGACCACTTACAAGACTCTGTTAATATAAGTATCTCCTATTAAAGCATAAACCTTTTGATGGCAGAGGCTCTAATTAATTTGTCTTTATCTTGACATCCCTAGTACCAGTAGCAAAGTCTGCTATTTATTAGGAAATCAATATAGTGTCATGTATTAAACACATTTATTAAACAACTAGTGTCATCTATTAAACACTAGTTTGGTTTATAATTTTGCAGGGATTATCTAATGTTCACAGTGGCCCTGATAGGGTCTCTGTGAACATGGAGTAGGTAATGTTCACCCCATTTTACTTATAAGGTAACTGAGGCTTGGGTTAATTTCTCCAAGATCACATGGGTAGTGAACTAGGATTTCCTACCAGTACATCTGACTCCGGATCGCACTTCCTTAACCCCCTATTGAGTAAATATTGTTGAAAATGTTGATTGCCCTTATAAGAATTGGATTATTTATTGGGATTGTAAAGGACACTCATTTTGTTTGACACTTTAGCTTTAAAATAGTTTGCTAATTTTGAATAATTAAAAGAAAGTGAATGAAAAATGACAAGTCTTCAGATGGCAGATGCTTTTGACATGCCAGAAGGTTTACTATGTGTACACACGTTAAAGCTGCATCTTTGTCAGGACTGAATCCCTTTGGTAGCTGTCAAAGATCATCTCACATAAGAAGCATTTGATTTAAGTTTCAAACAGACTGCGCTAATTTTCATGAATTTTACAGAGAATCTTGATACTCATTTAGTTGTATAGGGGCAGCAAAATTCCACCTGTTTCTTCTTAGGGTCCCAGCTGGGCCTGAGAATTAAATGGATATAAAACAGATTAACGGGAGAAAAGCATACAAATTTATTTCATACAAGTAATACGAGTTTTACGTGGCACAAGAATCCTCATAAAGAGATAAAGACCCGAAGACATTCATTCATACAGCCAACAGACACATGAAAAAATGCTCATCATCACTGGCCATCAGAGAAATGCAAACCAAAACCACAGTGAGATACCATCTCACACCAGTTAGAATGACAATCATTAAAAAATCAGGAAACAACAAGTGCTGGAGAGGATGCGGAGAAATAGGAACACTTTTACACTGTTGGTGGGATTGTAAACTAGTTCAACCATTATGGAAAACAGTATGGCGATTCCTCAAGGATCTAGAACTAGAAATACCATTTGACCCAGCCATCCCATTACTGGGTATATACCCAAAGGATTATAAATCATGCTGCTATAAAGACACATGCACACGTATGTTGATTGTGGCACTATTCACAATAGCAAAGACTTGGAATCAACCCAAATGTCCATCAGTGACAGACTGGATTAAGAAAATGTGGCACATATACACCATGGAATACTATGCAGCCATAAAAAAGGATGAGTTTGTGTCCTTTGTAGGGACATGAGTGCAGCTGGAAACCATCATTCTCAGCAAACTTTCACAAGAACAGAAAACCAAACACCGTATGTTCTCACTCATAGGTGGGAACTGAACAATGAGATCACTTGGACCTGAGAAGAGGAACATCACACACCGGGGCCTATTATGGGGAGGGGGGAGGGGGGAGGGATGGCATTGGGAGTTATAACTGATGTAAATGACGAGTTGATGGGTGCTGACGAGTTGATGGGTGCAGCACACCAACATGGCACAAGTATACATTTGTAACAAACCTGCACGTTATGCACATGTACCCTAGAACTTAAAGTATAATAAAATAAAATTTTTTAAAAAAAGAGATAAAGACCCAAATAAGCAGTTAGAGTGAAACGCTTAAATAATGAATTACAAAAAGAGCAGTAAATTGTGAAGAACCAACTAAATTATATGGGGAGGCTTAAAAGATACGTTATTTTAACAAAGTCTATACAGAATTCTTTGACCTCAACTTCCTGTCCTTGAGGATAGGATGTTAATTTCTTTCAGGGGAATTTCATCTTCTGCTTTTAAGGAGGCTGGAAGATCAGAGTTCTCTTTTTACACCTGTTGTTTTCCAATACTTGAATTAAATGCCTTTTATTCAAAATAGTCAGTATGCCAGAGTGGTATATTTTCAACTTCTTCCATTATAAATGTAACTTTGTATCATATGAAAAGCTCATTGCTCAATTTGTGACTGAGTCTTTGAGAGTGGAAACAACATTAAAATTAGTAGTAAATAATTTAGTACTAGCTGTATCATAGCACTTTTTTTTTCCATGTGATTTTTAGGCCAGATTACCTATCCTAACCTTTCTTTTCTTTGATTATGGTAGTTAATAGCAACAATCCTTTTGTGGTGCTCAGATCATAAAATGAGCAAATAAATTATTTTCAGAGTTCACTGTTTGTTTTTCCTAGTGCTCCTTCCCTATGTTGCAAATAGTAATTCCATGATTTTCAAGTGTTGTAATATGACTTTTTAAATAACACTGTGGGTTATGTAATGCGAATTTCTCTTTGGTCAAGTGATAACACCTGCAAATGATATTTAGTGCATTCCTTGATATACCAAATGAAAATATTTATTTATGGCCTGGGTTTTTAAAGGAATTACTAAACATTTCATACAACTGTTCAAAGGAATATGGATGTCAACTTTGAAGTGTTTTCCTGACATAGGGCTCTTTGTTTTTCTCTTCCTGAACACGTGCCCTCCTGCCTCCTTCCTCTCAACATAATCTGATATAATTAATACTCTATCAAATTTTTTGTCTTTGTTGCAGACTTGGGTTCTTCCTTGAATTCCTGCCTGCTCCTTTTATCTGGAGGGCTGGCCTGAACAATAACCTCAGGTTATCTTTTTTTTTTTTTTAAATTTTATTCTTATTATTATTTTCACATTTTTTTATATTATATTTTAAGTTCTAGGGTACATGTGCACATTTGTTACAAATGTATACTTGTGCCATGTTGGTGTGCTGCACCCATCAACTCGTCAGCACCCATCAACTCGTCATTTACATCAGTTATAACTCCCAATGCCATCCCTCC